ACAGGGTTCATTTCATTTATTAATATTGTCATTTCTAACTAATTCGAGTTCAGTTAAGTACGTTACTTTATTACTAAGAAATAAATCTAAGCTCAACCAGCAACAATGTCACAAGTTTGTATTTAAGTATTTCTACGTATTATACATATTTAATTAGATTGTCTCCTGTCAACATTTCATGGTTTCACTTCCACTTCAAGATTGCATTATTGCCAAATAAAACTTTTTATTCCTCAATCGCACACATTTAAATTTAATCACTTTTCGTTTACATCGGTGCTAAACGGAAGTCTCTTTTATTGTCCATCAAAAATATCAGTGATGAAATTTCATCTTAACTTCTTTTCTTGCGATATGTTAGAAGCTATACGTATACACTCAAAATCGATTTCAAGGTAATAAAGTCGATGTGAAAATAAAAATATGCAGTGGCGAGAAAAAAAACAGTCCTACGTAAACTGAATGTAATTAAATATTGATTAATCGATTAATTTTCGAATGTTATTTTTTATTTTTGAAACTAGCATCATTGATGCTTTCACAGTTCCGAGTCAAGAATCCTTTTATAAAACCAGAAAACACTGCTCCAAGTCAAGTTTTCAAATAACCAAATAGCATATTTACGAAGTCACATTGCTCTCTCACTTGTATCTCCCGCTTTCCTTCATACCATTGGAGATCATGGCTCTTCTCCACTTCCTGTAACTTTTACCTGTCTTACCGTTGATACCTAATCGTATAAACTCGTTAGGTAGATTACTTCCCTTTTCCCTTTAATTTTAAATATATACTGTGTGTCGAATTCTCTTAGCCTTTCTTCCTCATTTCTCAAAACTTTATCAAAGTATTTTAAGTACAATATCAGTATCAATTATAATGTCTTGTCAGTTCAAACTCACTGCCAGCTATTTACCTTTGGGGATCCTGATTTTACATCTTTTTTCTTCTATTTCGTCATAAAGCTTCCTAATATATATTATTCAGTGCTACTCGTAGTTAGCTGAAGACAAAAATGTCCCCGAGAGAGGAACCCGACCGACGTGTAAAAGGAAGAAAGGAAAACGAATGAGCAAAGAAAGGAGAACAAAAAAAAAAATAACCTAAAACGAAAATAATAAAGGAAAAAGAAAAAAATAAAGAAAGGAAAGGGAAATATAAAGAAAGGAAACAGAAAAAAGATACGAGAAAGATAGTTAAAAGATAGAGATTATGCATTTGAGTTCTTCGCTTACATACTACAACGCCATCTAGCGGACTTTAACTTTCCTCTAGTAACACGCAGTTTATATTTGCTTCTCAGGTGAATGTCTTTTTTCTATCTAGTATTATCTATCGGCAAAGTAATCATTAATTTTATTAATCTTTTCCTTCGTTACAACTGTCAGTATTTCACAAACTAAATTTATTCACTTTGTTTTACAAGCAGATTTATAACGCAGTAAAACAAATATCAAGAGTGATTTGCAAATTCACTTCCATCAAATTCATTTGTCGATACTGAATTTGACAATATTTTGAATATTATTAAATTCATGAGTTCATAAGTGTTTACATAAGCATTTTCATTCCATCTTCCCCATAATATTTGTCTTGAGTAAAAAGTAATGGTGAAAGCAATTTTATATCACATTGATTCAACATAAGAAAAGTCCGACATGAAATTTTCATATTCTTACATTCGTCGCCATTTTGTCTAACATTGTTAGAAAAAAATACTTATTTCCAGCCATGTGCTCTTAATACGTATTAGGAATAACGCCAAGATTTGGTATATTATAAAAAAAATAAACATAAAAACAGGTAAAGTGTATATTGAATAATGAGATCAGCAGGTCGAGAAGTGAAATGTCACTTTGTTGGAATGAGGTTCATTCAGAGGGAGAACCGATCCGGAATTAATCTTATACGCAAACACGTTCTCGGGTTGTAAAAATCGAAAGTTTACTTCGTTTTAAAAAAATCAGTTTGTTTAAAAGGAATAAAATCTAAAATAATTCTACTGTCAACTATTTGTCGACTAATAATAATTCAATCATTCCGAGATTCATTATTTAAAAGTTAACTTTCGAAAACTTATACAAATTTGGATGATTTTCCCGTCATTTTAGAACGTGTGCAGCAGCTCTTTTCTTAGAAACAAACAATGGTGGAAAGCACTTTTGCAAGGGACGAATACCGAGAAATGGTTGGTGTACAGCGCTCCACAAGTTCCTCAAATGATCAGCCCACCGGTTTTGAATCAAGAGTTCATGCCGAGTGTCACCCAAGGCTATAGAAATCTGTCTTGCTATTTACTCATAGCTTTGAGGCGAAAAGATAGATTCATACCTAGCACGTAAGTGAATGCAATCAAAGCCACTGTCCATTACTCGACTTTGCCCCCTGTACAATATTAGAACTGTATTAGATTTAGTCATAAATAACTTTCGTTTTTGTTTATCAAATTTATTCTTAAAAAAAAAAAAAGTACATTTATATTCAATTATATACGCCTCACCATTTGCAATAACCTGTTTGTAGCAAACTATAGATTCACGGAGCCGTAATTCCAAATAACCTCAAATATACTCTTTGGCATCTTCTCCCCTCGCCATTGTCTTTCGAAAATAGGTATACTAATCCGTCACCAGTATAGCCTGGTTATTTCAGCAACCGTTTTTTGTTATAAACGATGGAAGGAGTCTGACATTTTTTTTATACAATGTAACCCGGATATAAGAGACCCGGATATAAGAGAAACCCGTATATGAGAGATTTTGTCTGGTCTTAAATTAGAGCCTGTGTTAATGTATATAAAATAGACCAAACCCGGATATAAGAGAAACATGGATATAAGAGAGATTTTCTCTGGTCCCAAATTAGAGCCTGTGTTAATGTAAACAAAATAGACCAAACCCGGATATAAGAGAAACCCGGATATAAGAGACTTCTTCTCCGGTCCCGACAACTCTCTTATATCCGGGTTACACTGTATCATAGACAATGGCATCGCCCTCACTATTTTTTTTTTAAATTAAATGGATTTGTTCTGTAGATTGTTGCCATTTATCAGGCTGCTCTTCAATAAAATCTTCACAAGTTTTGACGTGGAAATGTTTGAATCGAATTCTTTAATCTCTTCTTTTTTCATTAGAGATTTTTCCCTCTCAGAGCATTTTGCAGTGATCGAAATTGGTTTCTGAAAGCTCAATTGAATACGGCGTTTGGGACCGAACAGAGACGCTACGTACCAAAATCTTTCTGCTGTTGATTCCGTGGATGAGAACAAATTTCCCCTTTTTCTAACGCAGGACAATATTTAAACAAACTCATGGACACGGCAAAGTGGTAGCATTTATAGATGTGCATTTACTATTTCAATGTGTTTTAAGAACTCGAGATTTATTGCTCGAAAATACAGCAATTGTGGGACAAGGCCAAAAAGGAGGAATAGGTTGCGGCTGATCGTCACTAACTCTCGTATACCTTGCTAATCCGATTCACGGCCCATTCATTCGTTACAATTTACAAATCCACCATAAAATCTCTTCGTCATCATTCAATCCTCCATACAGCTCAGTAACGCATACCCACATGTAGATCTGTAAAAAACACGCCATGATATAAAAAATCGTGTATATAAAATTATATATAAAAGTTTATCGATGATAAGCAATGAATGGAGGGGAAGAACCAGAAAACATAAAATATACTAAATATACTAAAATATAACAGAACACACAAACTAAAAATAATTGATGTTAGTAGGACTCGTCCAACCCCCAAAAGAAATGAGAAAGACCGCTGTATCCCGTTTACAAAAAAAAAAAAAAATCAAGAGGTTCTTTCGCTAAGGGAGAAAGCACGATAAAATAAATACGGACATGGGTAAATAAGAAAAAAAACTGACCCAGTCGAGGTGAAAAAAGGGGGTCAAAAACAAAATGGGGAGGTTGGGAATCTCAGCTAGGAACATAACCAAAGAAGCAGCCGAGTATAGGCCAAGAAAAACACTTGTACACATCAATTAGGTACACAAGATGACTCTATCCTAACCAGCGACATAGCTCCACAGGAAGCCGCCCCGATGTGTGTTAGGGAGACTTAAAAATGAAAATCAAGTCTAGCTCCGTTCACGCAAACCAGATTAACTCTAAATGAAAGATAAACCGATGATCACTATCCTAGGAACAGAAAAAACTAACTTATCCCATTGAGCTCAGTTATCAGGTCGCTTGGTGATATTTATACGCGTCAATCTCTTTTCTTTTGTAAGTATTTTTTGAAGATAATGATACTAGTTCTACTAATTAATCTATAGCTGGGGGAGAAGAGATAGTTTGTGACCTTTCCCTAGGATATTTGGGCGTTATTGAATATAATGAAGTCGACTGGATTTGGAATTCAGTTCTCTGATTTTTAATACTGAGCTTTTATCTATTGCCCGACACGCATATCTGATTTCAAACGGCCATGATATATTTAACAAAAAGTTTGTAAGAATGATATACTCGTCATTACAACTGAATCCTAAGGACAGTAATTGCATAAAGTTTGTTTAAAGGTTTAGTCAACGATATTTTATAGAATGCCAGTGAGTTAATATTCAATATTCAGTACTAATAGCTTTGTAACCAGTGATTTGAGTGTATTATTATTAGTAGTATTATTAGTATTATTAGTATTATTTCAAGATGATTAGCATTTCATTTCTCTTGTTTCATATGCCACTTTAAAGTTGTAAGAGATTTTGACTCGAAAACTTACAGTCTTTGATGGTTCTTTGCAACTATTACATTTTACTGCACGTATTTTACTTTCAAAAAAAGGAAGCACGGTGGAATAATTGATAGCGGCTCGGATTGAGAAATTGGAGAGACGAGTTCGAATTCCAGTTGAAACCATTACAATCACTTACGTGCTAATATCCTTGGGGAAAGGTGTGAATCTTTTCCCCGCAGATATGGATAAATAGCAGGGCAGTCCGTTTTCTATAGCCTAGGATGGCAACTGGTCTACCGCAGAAAGAAATGGCAACATACTGCAGGAAAAAAATATCTGCCTCGTCAGTCATGTATCGAAAGATACATGATCACCTAAGCGAGTATCACATATGGTACATAACTGAATGATTTTACTTTCTCGTATTTATTCTGAGGCATTTCACTTAAACTCGTCAAATTGATTAATCGCTGTGTCATCATTCTCTTGCCTTCAGAATGCGTTCATTTTTTTTCTTTATTCACTAAGAACGACAGAAGGCGATTAGTTCATTTTAACACTTTTTTAATTACTTTTTCTTGTTTATGTACAAGCGAGTGAATGCTTGTGTCGAAAGACTTTTTTGGTTTTCGAATATACCTAATCTTGCGCTTTCAAATATATTTTTTGTTAATTGACAAGATCCAGGATTATGCAGACGCGGTCTCTTGCTGTACTAAAAAGGTTGTAAACTTTGCGTTTCTTTTCTTGCAGACAATCCCCGCAATCCATTTCCTCCCAACCACTCTAAAAACCGCACCAAGTGTTGTCTGTCGTTTCGTTCGACCAGTTTTTATTTCCTTACGACCAAAAATTACATAATCTCGCGAGAGTATATCTGATTCCGGGATCGATCTGTTTTAAATATGTAACCCGCGAAGCTGTCTACTTTTTTTTTTTTTTTTGCTGTTTACATGTGAATCACGTTTGAATCTGTGTTCTCCCTAGAGGTAAGTCATTTTCTTCTAGCGTTACAAAAAAAAATGCATGCAACCATGTGCTATTTTGCCCTCTGCAGTAGTTCACTACACATGCCCATATGTAAATTAAATAAAACTCGATAATTTCTAAGGTGTTGGAACTGGCAAGCCGGTTTTTACATTTTTTTATCAGTTGTAGACGAGAGGTTAGAACAGTCGCTGTTTAGTCATAAGAATCAGATTAGAATAGCGCAATTTTCATGCAAGTGACTTCATTATTATATCTGTCATATATATATTTTCACTAATCCAGTAAAATTACAACATTTATATACAAAAATTGTGTATTAGCATTTTGATGAGGAGAAATGATAAAGCCATAATCATCAAAATTTGATTTTATAAAATGGATAAAATATTTTTGCATTAGACATGCTGTATAAAACTCTACCGAAATTAGTGTATATATGTATTTACATACAGACAAACATCTCATTAGTGGACTAATAGGGGGAAGGGAGGTCCGTTAAAGAGATGAGATGGGATTATTTTTGA